CGCCCCCCCCCCCCCCCCCCCCCTTGCCTCCCCCCCCCCGGGCCAGCCGTATCCCCGCGGGGACGGCGGCTCTGCTCCCTCTCACCCCAAGCCCCAGCTCGACGCAGTTGTGAGGGGGTTTTGGGGCTGGCGGGGAGTGCGCGGACCCGACCCGACCCCGCTCCTTGTGCATCCTCCTGCAGCCGCGCCGCCAACCGCGTGTGCCGCTGGGCTCTGCCAGCACCCAGGGGTGCCCAGGGATGGGAGGGGTCCGGGCGGCTGCCAGGGCACTCCGGTGTCTGCCTGGCTGCTCTGGGGCAGGGGCTTTTCAGAGCAGGGGACGTGGCCGCGCAGAGCCCCAGGCTTTGCAGGAGCAGGGTGGCAGCTTTCGGTGCACGGAGCTGTGACTCGTGCAGACCCCGTGGCCGAGGCAAACGGGTGCCTATGGCCTCACCCGTCCCGGGGCTGAGCCATGCCGGTGTTTGGGATTTCAACACCTGGTTCCCATTGGTTTGAGATGTTGGGCTGTGGTTTGGGGCTGCCATCTCCTCCTCTGGTGATGCCCAGCACCCACGCTGGGAGGGCTGGAGTCGGCAGCGCTGGGTAGGAGCCCTGCCTGGCTGCGTACGAGGGCACCGAGGGCGGCACTGGGTGTTATTCCCCAGCCCCTTTCCCACGGGAGCAGCGGGGTGCGGCAGCCTGGATGGCTGCGCCAGTGGGCAGAGATGGGCAGAGCACCCCGGGGAGCAGCAGCCCGCGGTCACCCGTGCCGCCCCGCACAGGGCTCTCCCACCCGCTGCTGCGGTGCGTGGAGGGTGCTCCGGGTGCAGCCACGGCACCTGCGCCCCGGCTCGGCCGCATGTCGGTGCTGGGGGCCGGGCACGGGCATTTTTTAGGGTGACCCTCAGCTCTTCACGTGTCTTGGAAAGCTGTAGGCAGGGCTGTTTCTGTGCCCCCCACCTCGTGGTTTTTCTTGCCGATTGAATAAGCAGGTGAATTAAGACTGTAATTACGGCTCCACCCAATTATTTTTGCTTTAACTAACGCGGAGTGGCCTCTGTGCAAGGGGAAGGAGCGGGGACCCAGCCGTGCCCTCGCATGCCACTGGGTTTCTCTGGGGACCACCTGGCTGCAGGCTGGGGGCTCTCGAGCCCCTCTGAACCTCCTCCATGCCGCTGCAAACGGCATCAACCAGCGTCTTCCTCCAGCCCACCCTTCTCTGCCTGCTTTTCGCTCCCGCTGCCCCCACAACCCTCTTGCTAAAGGGGGGTTGGTTTTTCCCCGGCAGGCAGAGCCCGTGGTCCCTCCTGGAGCCCGGCTGCTGCCTGCGGTGGGCACCCCTGGCCCTGGCATGGGGCTGAGCTGGTGCTCACCGGGCAGCGTCCCCGCCGGCACACCCCAAGGCCTGGCGAGCTCCCGAAAACGCGCAGCGTGGCTTGTCCCGTGGCGGGCGGTGCGGGCCGGGAGGACAAGCGCTGGCTCGCTGGGCCATGGCAGCCCCCCCTGCACCCGAGCTGCTGCCGGCATGGAGGGGCGGTCTGGGTTTTTGGGGGGTTGCTTTGTGTTCTGGTTCCTGTGGCTGGAGCACATTTGGGGTCCCGCCGGGGTGCAGCCAGAGCTGCCCTTTGCCCGCGGCTCAGCCCGTGCTTTGCAGAGGGTGGGCACATGGGGGATGGCAGAGCCCCTCGTGCCCTTCGTGCCATCAGCCTCCGGGCAGGGGGATCACCCCTTAAATCAGAGGGGAGATCCCCAAAGCAGGGCCCCGACTCTGCACAGCCCTTTGGCTCTCGACTGACATGGGAGCGATGGCTGGGAGGGAGGAGAGAGGGGACGGCACAGGGATGGGGTCCAGGCTTGGCGCTCGGCAGCGAGCAGGGGTCCAACGGGCAGGTGCCCCCTGCCACAGGCTCCACATCCACAGGTACCAAACAGCTTGAACAGTTGTTTGTGGTTTATTTTTTAATGTGAAGTCTTGGGAGTAAATTCCCCTCTCCGAAGGGCTGCACATGCGCCGGCATCTCCATAGCAACCCTGCTCCATGCCGGCTTCGGCAGGGAGATGCGGCCGCGGTAGCATCCTCGCCCGGCTTCGGCTGCGAGATGTGGGACCGCGGTAGCATCCTCGCCCGGCTTCTCTGGGACCATGGTAGCATCCTCGCCCGGCTCTGGCAGGGTGATGCGAGACCACCACCACTCTGAGAGGATGCTGGGAGGGTGCCGGGAGGATGGAGACCATCCCAGGGTCTCTCCCAGCCCCGTCCTGTTGTCTCAAGCAATACCACCACCTTCTGGCAGCAAAAGTGTGGATACAGGGGAGGAAAAAAAAGGGGGATCCCCTCCCAAATCCTCTATTTTAGCATGTGGGGGAGCAGTAGCATCCTGAGGATGCCCAGCTCCTTTTGGTAGGGAGGTACCGATTTATTTTCCATGGGTGCTTTTTTTATCCTTGGTTTGGCAGCAGCACCCAGCTGCCCGGTGCAAGCGGGGGAGCCTGCGAGGCTGCAGAGGGGCTGCGATAGCTGCATTTGGGGGGGGATGCAATGCAAACAGGGGGGGCTGCTGCAGGTCAGCTTGTGACAGCCGGTGAAGCTGATCCCGGGATCCCGGCTGCCACCGTGCTCGCTGCCACACCATCCCCACGATTGGTTGTGGCTCCTGGCAGAAGCGTGGGCAGCAGCCGGGGCTTCTCCTCCAGCGTACCTGTGCAGGCAGGCAGGCGCCGAGAGCAGCTTTTTGGGGTAAAAAGCGGCGGTTTGAGGTCTCGGGAGGGCGATGCGCGTGAGCGGTGTGTTCCTGCCATTGATGACGGCATGCGTGGGTGTCTCGGCGTACCCGGCGCAGCACCAGCACGGAGGTGAGATGGGATGCGCGGGACCTCAAGATGCGGTGCATCCCGCAGCCGCTTCAGCCAGGCGGGCAGCTGGCTGCCTGCACCTCGCTGGTGCTGCCTGCACCTCGCTGGTGCTGCCTGCACGGGGTTCCGAGTCCCCGAAACGCTGCCAGGACCAGGGTGCTGCGTGCCGTTTGAATGTGCCGTGATGGGTTTGCATGATGTGGTTTGGGCTGGTGGGTCCCATCCCTGCTCCTGCTCGACTCCACCGGCACGGACCTGGGGCTGAGCCCCGCTGGGCTGCGGGAAGCGCTTTGGGAAGAGGGGGAAAAAGGGGTCCCAGCTTGTGGACCTGGGGGTTCCCCCTCCCCGCTTGCTGTGCTGCCAGGAGGGCATCAGCCATCCTGGGGCAGGACTATAGAAATAAGTGGATTTGTAGGAATTTTGTGCCCTCCTGTGGAGACTGTCCACATCAGGTTTCCTCTGCCCGAGGCAGAAGCCACACATGCCCCTTCTTGCTCCCTGCTGTCCCCAAACCCATCACGGTGACTGGCGAGATCCCTGTGTGCATCCCAGGGTCGAGCCCTGGCGACCCTGGGGAGGGGAAAGCCCCACGGGGGGGCCGGGCTGGCTACTGTGTGCCCTGCCCTCCCTGCTGCAGGCAGGCGGGGGACCTACCATGAGAGGGCACCCGTGCCCTCTGCAAGCCCTGGGCAAGCCCTGTGTGCACCCTGCCTGCCCTGTGCATACCCTGCCTGCCCGCTGTGCGTGCCCTGTGTGCACCCTGCGTGCACGCTGCGTGCTCCCTGCCTGCCTTCTGCATACCCTGCATGCCCGCTGTGCGTGCCCTGTGCAAGCCCTGCGTGCTCTCTGTGCATACCCCTGCATGCCCGCTGGGCAAGCCCTGTGTGCACCCTCCGTGCTCCCTGCCTGCCCTGTGCATACCCTGCATGCCCGCTGTGCGTGCCCTGTGCAAGCCCTGCGTGCTCTCTGTGCATACCCCTGCATGCCCGCTGGGCAAGCCCTGGGTGCACCCTCCGTGC